GAACATAGAATTCAAAAAGGTTTAGGCCATAGGGCTCGGGGATTAGAGCTTTTGGTGTTTTGGGTTAAGGTTTAGGGGATTTAGGTGTTAGAGGTTAGGGGTAGGGGTTACGGGGATAAGGGCTAAGAGTTAAGGTTTAAAGGCTTAGGGGATATGGATTTGGGTTTAGTGTTCTTTTGCTTCTTTTGCTCCACTAGCTCATCTTTCTTCTCCTATTTTTGTCTCTTATTATATTTTGTTGTTGTTCTTTAGATTTTCATATTTATGTGCGTGACAAATCTATTTTGTGTTTTAATTTCAGTTGTTTGTGGAATGGATGTTTGCTTTTGAAAGATTAAGAAGAGTTGAAGGAGAAAAGTTTGCAAGGCGAGCTTATGATTGAAAAGATAAGTATATATATTCGTCCTAGTTGCGTTGACTTTATTTTATATGTAAAATATGTTTTACACTTGACTATTTCTACTTGTTTTTGTGTTTATTGTTTGTTTTGATCATTCTTTCTATTATTTTCGTCCCCCAATACTCTCATTATCCGATAGGTTCATTTTGATTTCTCGTTGATGTTTTCATATTTTTCCAAACCTTTAATTGTTTAGCACTTTTTTGATAATATGTATTTTGTTCGCTTTTCTATTCTAGGAGTTATGTTTTATTTCTCTATTTTATTACCTTTCTATTAAATTGTTATATGTTGGAAATAAAGTTGAATTATTTGGAGGAGAGCAAAAGGACAAAAGTATGAAAGAATATTAGGAGTTTGTAGCATGTAAAAGTGATTAATAGAACGTAGAATTCAAAGAGGTTTAGGCCATAGGGCTCGGGGATTAGAGTTATAGGTGTTTTGGGTTAAGGTTTAGGGGTTTAGGGGTTTAGGGGTTTAGGGGTTTAGGTGTTAGAGGTTAGGGGTAGGGGTTACGGGGATAAGGGCTAAGAGTTAAGGTTTAAAGGCTTAGGGGATAAGGATTTGGGTTTAGTGTTCTTTTAGTTCTTTTGCTCCACTAGCTCATCATTCTTCTCTTATTTTTGTCTCTTATTATGTTTTGTTGTTGTTCTTTAGATTTTCATATTTATGTGCGTGACAAACCTATATTGTGTTTTAATTTCAGTTGTTTGTGGAATGGATGTTTGCTTTTGAAAGATTAAGAAGAGTTGAAGGAGAAAAGTTTGCAAGGCGAGCTTATGATTGAAAAGATAAGTATATCTTTTCGTCCTAGTTGCGTTGACTTTATTTTATATGTAAAATATGTTTTACACTTGACTATTTCTACTTGTTTTTGTGTTTATTGTTTGTTATGATCATTCTTTCTATTATTTTCATCCCCCAATACTCTCATTATCCGATAGGTTCCTTTTCATTTATCGTTGTTGTTTTCATGTTTTTCCAAACCTTTAATTGTTTAGCACTTTTTTGATAATATGTATTTTGTTCGCTTTTCTATTCTAGGAGTTATGTTTTATTTCTCTATTTTATTACCTTTCTATTAAATTGTTATATGTTGGAAATAAAGTTGAATTATTTGGAGGAGAGCAAAAGGACAAAAGTATGAAAGAATATTAGGAGTTTGTAGCATGTAAAAGTGATTAATAGAACGTAGAATTCAAAGAGGTTTAGGCCATAGGGCTCGGGGATTAGAGTTATAGGTGTTTTGGGTTAAGGTTTAGGGGTTTAGGTGTTAGAGGTTAGGGGTAGGGGTTACGGGGATAAGGGCTAAGAGTTAAGGTTTAAAGGCTTAGGGGATATGGATTTGGGTTTAGTGTTCTTTTGCTTCTTTTGCTCCACTAGCTCATCTTTCTTCTCCTATTTTTGTCTCTTATTATATTTTGTTGTTGTTCTTTAGATTTTCATATTTATGTGCGTGACAAATCTATTTTGTGTTTTAATTTCAGTTGTTTGTGGAATGGATGTTTGCTTTTGAAAGATTAAGAAGAGTTGAAGGAGAAAAGTTTGCAAGGCGAGCTTATGATTGAAAAGATAAGTATATCTTTTCGTCCTAGTTGCGTTGACTTTATTTTATATGTAAAATATGTTTTACACTTGACTATTTCTACTTGTTTTTGTGTTTATTGTTTGTTATGATCATTCTTTCTATTATTTTCATCCCCCAATACTCTCATTATCCGATAGGTTCCTTTTCATTTATCGTTGTTGTTTTCATGTTTTTCCAAACCTTTAATTGTTTAGCACTTTTTTGATAATATGTATTTTGTTCGCTTTTCTATTCTAGGAGTTATGTTTTATTTCTCTATTTTATTACCTTTCTATTAAATTGTTATATGTTGGAAATAAAGTTGAATTATTTGGAGGAGAGCAAAAGGACAAAAGTATGAAAGAATATTAGGAGTTTGTAGCATGTAAAAGTGATTAATAGAACGTAGAATTCAAAGAGGTTTAGGCCATAGGGCTCGGGGATTAGAGTTATAGGTGTTTTGGGTTAAGGTTTAGGGGTTTAGGTGTTAGAGGTTAGGGGTAGGGGTTACGGGGATAAGGGCTAAGAGTTAAGGTTTAAAGGCTTAGGGGATATGGATTTGGGTTTAGTGTTCTTTTGCTTCTTTTGCTCCACTAGCTCATCTTTCTTCTCCTATTTTTGTCTCTTATTATATTTTGTTGTTGTTTTTTAGATTTTCATATTTATGTGCGTGACAAATCTATTTTGTGTTTTAATTTCAGTTGTTTGTGGAATGCATGTTTGCTTTTGAAAGATTAAGAAGAGTTGAAGGAGAAAAGTTTGCAATGCGAGCTCATGATTGAAAAGATAAGTATATATATTCGTCCTAGTTGCGTTGACTTTATTTTATATGTAAAATATGTTTTACACTTGACTATTTCTACTTGTTTTTGTGTTTATTGTTTGTTATGATCATTCTTTCTATTATTTTCATCCCCCAATACTCTCATTATCCGATAGGTTCCTTTTCATTTATCGTTGTTGTTTTCATGTTTTTCCAAACCTTTAATTGTTTAGCACTTTTTTGATAATATGTATTTTGTTCGCTTTTCTATTCTAGGAGTTATGTTTTATTTCTCTATTTTATTACCTTTCTATTAAATTGTTATATGTTGGAAATAAAGTTGAATTATTTGGAGGAGAGCAAAAGGACAAAAGTATGAAAGAATATTAGGAGTTTGTAGCATGTAAAAGTGATTAATAGAACGTAGAATTCAAAGAGGTTTAGGCCATAGGGCTCGGGGATTAGAGTTATAGGTGTTTTGGGTTAAGGTTTAGGGGTTTAGGTGTTAGAGGTTAGGGGTAGGGGTTACGGGGATAAGGGCTAAGAGTTAAGGTTTAAAGGCTTAGGGGATATGGATTTGGGTTTAGTGTTCTTTTGCTTCTTTTGCTCCACTAGCTCATCTTTCTTCTCCTATTTTTGTCTCTTATTATATTTTGTTGTTGTTCTTTAGATTTTCATATTTATGTGCGTGACAAATCTATTTTGTGTTTTAATTTCAGTTGTTTGTGGAATGGATGTTTGCTTTTGAAAGATTGAGAAGAGTTAAAGGAGAAAAGTTTGCAAGGCAAGCTTATGATTGAAAAGATAAGTATATATATTCGTCCTAGTTGCGTTGACTTTATTTTATATGTAAAATATGTTTTACACTTGACTATTTCTACTTGTTTTTGTGTTTATTGTTTGTTATGATCATTCTTTCTATTATTTTGATCCCCCAACACTCTCATTATCCGATAGGTTCCTTTTCATTTATCGTTGTTGTTTTCATGTTTTTCCAAACCTTTAATTGTTTAGCACTTTTTTGATAATATGTATTTTGTTTGCTTTTCTATTCTAGGAATTATGTTTTATTTTATTTATTTATTACCTTTCTATTAAATTGTTATATGTTGGAAATAAAGTTGAATTATTTGGAGGAGAGCAAAAGGACAAAAGTATGGAAGAATATTAGGAGTTTGTAGCATGTAAAAGTGATTAATAGAACGTAGAATTCAAAGAGGTTTAGGCCATAGGGCTCGGGGATTAGAGCTATAGGTGTTTTGGGTTAAGGTTTAGGGGTTTAGGTGTTAGAGGTTAGGGGTAGGGGTTACGGGGATAAGGGCTAAGAGTTAAGGTTTAAAGGCTTAGGGGATAAGGATTTGGGTTTAGTGTTCTTTTGCTTCTTTTGCTCCACTAGCTCATCTTTCTTCTCCTATTTTTGTCTCTTATTATATTTTGTTGTTGTTCTTTAGATTTTCATATTTATGTGCGTGACAAATCTATTTTGTGTTTTAATTTCAGTTGTTTGTGGAATGGATGTTTGCTTTTGAAAGATTAAGAAGAGTTGAAGGAGAAAAGTTTGCAAGGCGAGCTTATGATTGAAAAGATAAGTATATATATTCGTCCTAGTTGCGTTGACTTTATTTTATATGTAAAATATGTTTTACACTTGACTATTTCTACTTGTTTTTGTGTTTATTGTTTGTTATGATCATTCTTTCTATTATTTTCATCTCCCAACCCTCTCATTTTCCGATTGATTTCTTTTCATTTTTGATTGTTGTTTTCATGTTTTTGCTAACCATTAATTGATTAGCATTTCTTTGATAATATGTATTTTGTTCGTTTTTCTATTAAATAAATTATGTTTTATTTTATTTTTCTATTATCTTTCTATTAAGTTGTTATATGTTGGAAACAATGTTAAATTATTTGGAGGGGAGCAAAAGGATAAATCATGGAAGAACATTAGGAGTTTGCAAAGGGAGCTTATGATTGAAAAGATAAATATATCAATTCGTCCTAGATCCATTGACTTTCTTTTCTATGTAAAATATGTTTTGCACTTGACTATTTCTACTTGTTTTGTGTTTTTTGTTTATTACGGGCATTCTTTCTATTATTTTCATCCTCCAACATTCTCATTATCCGATAGGTTTTTTTTCATTTTTCGTTGTTGTTTTCATGTTTTTCCTAACCTTTAATTGCTTAGCATTTCTTTGATAATATGTATTTTGTTCTCTTTTCTATTATAGAAATTTTGTTGAACAGCAGAAGGCACAAAAGTGGCATTAATCCAGTTGAACAGCAGCTGAAATTCCAGCTGTAATCAGGTGAACAGACGCATGAAAAGCAGCTGCAAAGGGTGAGAGCAGAGGCAGCTGAAATTCATCAGAAAAGGCAGCAGTAACACCATAAGAGAAAGCAGCTGGGATCCCGCTGAAAGCCAGTTAATTCAGAGCAGCCGCTGGAACCGAGGAAAGAAACAAAAAAATAGCTGAAAAAAATCAGCTGCAGCAGCATCTGGACTGTTCACGTGAACAGTCCCCTTCTGATCAGAACCCACACACAGCCCCCAGCACTCCTTCATTGCAAAACCAAAAAAACAGTAGAGAGGCCAGCTGAGTGGCTCATACAAGCAAGAAACCAATTGGAAAACCAGCTGGAAAACAAGAAGATTCAGCAGTGCAGCAACCGGACTGCTCACGTGAGCAGTGGACTTGGACAGAGAAGAAATGCTGCTGAACAGAACCGTGAAATACCAACATCTGAGAGGAAGCCAATAAATGCCAACATGATACAGCAGAAGGCGTAAAAGTAACAATAAATCTCAGCTAGGAGCAGCTGAAGTCCCAGCTGAAAACCAACTGTGTTCCAGTCAATAAACCAACTGAGATCAGCTGGAAGAGACAATCTGCAGCAATCGCGAAGCAGTTCACATGAACAGTGCATCCAGACAACAAGCAGCAGAAAAGCAACATGAGAACCCCCACAACAGCATTAAAGAAACAGATGTTGCCTGAAAAACCAGCAGGAACAAGGGAAACCAGCAGAGTCCTCCAAACTGAAAGCACCACATCACAGAGAGAACCAGTTGGAAAGAAAATCAGCTGACTAGAGCAAAACCAGCTAAACAGTCCAATGACCATAAACCATGGCAGCCTTAGCAAAAGCCCCATCATGTGAAATGGATCCATAATATAGGTAAAAAATCACAAAAATGGCGCACTTTTTCCTTGGCGTTTTAACACCTTGTTGATCCTGCATCTGGATTAATTTAGCCCGGAGAGGAATCTTTAAATCAAGTGTGAAATCCGAAGAGGTACCCTCCAAAACAGCAAATCACAAATTCTCCAAAACTTCCAGGCCCTCATGTGCCCTTTCATTATCATTTGAACCATCATGGCCGAATCAGTTTCAATCTGAAGATTATAATTTAGAAGTCCATAACTTCTAAATAGCAATAAACCATCCTTGAGAGCATGCAACTCAGCTTCCGTGTTGGAACACACCTCGTAAAAAAAAGAAGCAGCCAGAACTATGTGCCCCAAGTCATTCCTTACCACAGCTCCGCCCCCAGCTCTTCCAGGATTTTCTTTCGATGCCCCATCCACATTTAGCTTTAAAATGCCCGAAGGAGGAAGGGACCAGTTTATGCAAATAATTTTTTGTTTCAGCTCATGCCTCAGCTCTACCTTTAATGCCCTCAAGAATTCCATACCAATCATGCCTTCCTTATCTTTAGGTCTAACGCCATAAGCCTGAAGACGCAGAGTGGAGCAGATATCTAGAAACACAGCATAGGCCGAGAGTGAGCTATCTTCATAGACCCTTCTGCATCGCTCCCTCCATAATCTCCAAATTACCACCAGTGGAACACCTCTTAACAAGTTCTGACTTACAGAGTGTTTTTTAAAAATTTTGATCAGTCTCATCATACAAACCAAAGGATTCAGCGGAGAAAACCTGAAAACCACGAAATGCAGCCAGTTTCCCCCAAACCTCTTTATCAAAGTTGCATTGTATGAACAGGTGAGAAGTAGATTCCACAGCCTTGTAACGTAGAGAACATCTGCTGGCCAAATCAACACCGACCCGTTGGAAGTTTGAGTCCTCTACTACTGCTTTCTGATATATCTTCCAGCCCAGCAGTTTTGCACTTGGGAAAACCGATTGGTTCCAGATCACAGAGGTCACAGGCACAGGGACACTCGAAGCTCTCACTGCCTCCCAAGCAGACTTGACATTGGACTCTCCCGAATCAGTTAATTTCCATATCAGTCGATCTTCCTTTTCGCTTAAACAAATCATAGAATTCTGTACTTCATGCTTTAACTGTTCAGATACCTGCACCCCCAAACTTTGCCACTGCCAGCACCCATCAGCCCATAACTCATCCAGGCATGGAAAGCACGAGGGAGAAACGGCATACCTGAGCAGAAGAGGGCCAGATCCAGTCCAGTTCGAACACCAAAAGTCAACATTCTTCCCATTCCCCACCATGACCTGTGAGTTGGTCATAATCAAGCTAAAGAAAGGTTGCAGCATTCGAAATATACGCATTTTTCCAGTACCCGTGCATCGCATCAAGTGATTGCCTTTTAAGAATTTTTCTCTAAACATGTTTGCCCACAGAGAGTCGCCCTTAAGAATACCCCATGCCTGCTTCCAACGGTATGCCGTTTGGATATCTTCAAATTTACGAATCCCTAGGCCCCCCCTCTTGCTTGGGTCTTGTAATTACAGACCATGAAACCCAATGCCTTTTCCTCTCCCCCATCCTGCCTAGCCACATAAAGGAGGCCATGAGAGAATTCAACTTTGCCAGGATGCCTTTGGGCACGCTTAGACAAGCGAGCAAATGAATAGGAACAGAATTAAGGACTGATTTAATCAACACAATTCTGCCCATGTTTGAAAGTAAGCGTGCGTACCACCCTTCCATTTTGGCTTTGAATTTTAGGACCACATCCTCAAAATCCCGCAGTTTATATCTTCCTCTTATCATGGGGCATCCCAGGTAGACGAAGGGACATTGTTTTATTGGAATTTGAGCAATTCTGGATAGAGTCATTGTCCTGCCCCGAGGAATATTGGAGGAACATATGAAAGAGCTTTTATGTTTACTTATCCTCTGTCCAGAGCTATCCTTGTATCTTGCCAAAAACCTCATCAATCGTTCCATGGAAAGTTTATTACCCCTAAGAAACAGTAGAGTATCATCTGCAAAAAGCAGATGAGAGACAAGAAGTGCATTCCTCCCTGCATGAAAAGCCTTGATTCTGCCTTCACCATACAGCTTCAACAGTCCTCTACTTAAAACCTCCTCTGCCAGAATAAAGAGAGCCGGAGAAATTGGGTCACCTTGTCTCAGTCCTCTAGACGAAGGAAAGAAACCGAATCTTTTCCCATTCAAGCAGACCGAGAAAAATTGATTCTTTAAGCAGTTGCCAATGATAGAAATGAACAAGCTTGAAAAGCCAAAACAAGTCAAGGTTCTTTTCAAAAAATCCCACTCTATGCGATCGTACGCCTTTATCATATCCAGTTTAAGAATCACGTTGCCAGCCTCAACTTTCCTATCAAGCTCTACCACCATTAACTGAGCTAAAGAAATACAGTCCCCAATCCCTCTCCCTTTGACAAAACCATGCTATGCATTTGAAATCAGAGATGGAAGAAGGGAAGCAAGTCTATTGGATAGGATCTTAGTGAAGACTTTGTATAAAAAATTGCATAGACTTATGGGCCTGAACTCTGAGAAAGAACAGGGCTTCAACACTTTTGGAATCAAAACGAGGAGTGTGGGGTTGACCGATCTTGGGACCACTCCCCCACTTAAGAAAAAGTTAACCGTTTCTAACATGTCATGTTTAATAATATCCCATGCAACTTGAAAGAATCTACCAGAGAAACCATCAGTTCCAAGGGCGCTTTCCACAGATATAGAAAGCACAACCTATTTAACTTCAATTAAGGTGGCAGCCATAGTCAAATTCTCGTTGTCAGTTGGTCCAACAAGCTCAGGAATGACCCCAAATAACTCTTCATCAAGGGTATGGTTTTTAGACTTGTACAATTTAGTAAAGAAAGTGACAGCCTGATGAGAAATCTCCTCCTCAGAGCTACAAGAAAGTCACATACAAGAAAGTCATTTATTTGTTATGGGTAGAAGCGAACAATTGGTATGTGAAGGATGGAAGTAAATATAGAGATGTGGTTGAGAGAAAAGGAGGTTAGGAAACCAAAAGTTTAAAAATGGAGATGTGTATGATTAATGTCACAAATGTTTGGTATTTAAATTCAATGGTGATCTTGGCATTTTCAAAATTTTGGAGGACAAAAGTGTCTAAAAAATGTTTTTCATATATGTTGATATTTTATAGTAGTATAGATATAGATATTTTCTTAATAAAATCCGGAGTAACCTAAGTATAATTATTATGGTTTTAAACTCATGTTTCTCATTTTATGGGAAACAGGGTGTGACACACACTAGATATTGATATATGCTTAAATATTGCTTTAAATCTCGATCATTGAATATTATGATTATGTTCAAACCTTTGTTCTAGTCAAAATGAAGTCCTTGTTCAAAGTGTAAATAAAACATATATTTGTACTAGCAATGCGCCACGTGCGTTGCACGTGACTAATTTTTTTAAAAAAAAATTAATAAATAATTATTTGGTATATATGTTTGAATTAAATATCATCTCAATTTTACCAAATTTATTTTTTCATTGCTCATGCTCCATTATAGAATTTTTGAAAATTTTGTATATTTTCAAGATTGGTTATTCTAACTTTAAGAAAAATGATCGGTTATTATTTGATATAACATAGTTTAAAAAGTTTACTATAACTAAAAAATTATATAAAACTATATATACATTATTTTTTTCTTAAAAATAAAATGGTTTTGATGAAAAATAAAATATACATACGTAGTCATAATATTATCTTTATAAATGAGATGAGTAATATTATATTAATGGAGTTTTTGAAGGTTTTTTTTTAATATTTTGTTAAAACTTATAATAATGCATATATTTTTGAAGAGTAATATAATAAGTCAAAAAGTTTCATAAAAATTGACATTTATAAATAAAGAATAAATAATTAAAAAATTAATTTGATTAAGATTTTACTTATAAATCATTTAATAAAATAAAAATAATTATCAATAAATTAATCATATTGGAACCTTACTGTATTAAGATTATCTAGGTCAATTGTGATAAAATTTAATATACAATGCTATAATCTATATAATAAAGTAGAGTTGAGTTTGAATCCAAGAGACAGAGTGGTTCAGATCGTTTTGAGACAAAACATAAGCACATCCGACGGACAATGTAATCTCAACATAAAAGACGGTTCAGATCATTTCAAAAATTTTGATCTAACGGTATATTGTGATTACCGAAATTAGTTTCCCCGCCCAACAAAATTCCTGTTTTAATTATAAGGGCTTTTTGCTTGACTGACGCCCCAGTCTCCTCTGATTCCCCCATATCTTCCCCTAAAATCTCTCTCAGAATCCTTCTCAATCTCATCCTCTGCCTTCCAAACTCATCCCCCAAAATCTTCCCCTACTCATCCCCAAAATCTCCAAAATCTCTCATGCCCAGCTCATCCCCAAAATCTCTTACGCCGAGGTATCTCAGTAATTGCTCTAACAATTTGTCTCCTCCCTTTCTCTCTGGAGTCCAACTCCGGCGACCCAAATATTCCAACATTCACCACAACTCTCACCATGCTTTTCCTAAACCCTTTTTTTTTTTTTTTTTGAAAAAAAGGAGGATATATTGAAATGAGCAGAAATTACAAGAAGCAAGGAAGCCGGGCTTTAACAAAAACAAGGAAGCCAATGTGGCATAAACCATCAAAAAAGAAAAGGACATAAAATGGGACATGAAGGCCAGCAAAAGCCAGCTGAGAGTCCAGCTGAAGATCCAGAAAATTCAGCTGGAGGAAAGCTGGAAACCCAAGAGACAGCAACTGCGAGATGATGAAAACCATGAGGAATGAACATAAGCCCAGAACCAACACAGCAACTGAGAGCCCGCTGAGAACAAATCCCCAGCTGACTGCCGAAGGAAGCAGCAACAGAGAAACCCACAGCAGCAGACCAATAGCCAGCGTCAAGCAGATGAAAGAACCGCTGAGAGACCATGAGAAAATCAGCAAAACCAGCTGAAGAAAAAGAGACCAAAGGTGGCCAGCAGCAGCGACAAGAAAGCTGTGCACATGAACCATTGACACCATCAAAACAGCACAGCAATCACAGCAGCAAGTGGAGCCCATAAGAACCAGCAGAGAACCACAAAGAAATCATGGAAAACCAGCTGGAAACCCGTTGAGACCAGCTGGAAATCCAGCTGAAAACCCTCTGAGCAGAACCGTGGAAAGCCTTCAATGTTTACCAAAGATAAAGTCTGATAAAACCAGCTGTAGCAACAAAATGAGCCACGATCCCCAGCTGAAATCAGCACAAAATCCAGCTGAGATCCAGAAAAAACCAGCTGAAAGAGCCCATCAGTAGCCGCAAACAGGCTGTCCATGTGAACAGTAGCGTGAACAGTGTGTCATGACCAAAACCAGTTGAAAACCATCTGAAAATCACCCACAGCAGCTGCAATATCAGTAGAGGTCAGCTGAGAAAAACCGCCAGCAGCAGGAAGCAGACTGTTCACGTGAACAGTCGCGTGAATAGTACTCCCTGACCAAAAACAGCAAAAAAGCCACCGGAATGTCCCCCCCAGCTGCATTTAATGTACAAATGTTGCCTAAGCTTCCCAGCAGGGTAAAGGAAGCAAACACACCAGCTGCGAGAAGCCAAGCAATGAGAAACAAAAGCCCCAGCCCGATTGGATGATTCATAAGTAAAAACCAAAGAATCAAAAATTAGTAAACTTTTTCCTTGACGTTTTAACACCTTGTTGATCCTGGATCTGAATTAATTTTGCCCGGAAAGGAATCTTCAAATCACGTGTGAAATCCGAAGAGGCACCCTCCAAAACAGCAAGGTTTGCAAGACAGTCAGCTAAGCAATTTGCTTCCCTGTATACATGAGCCAAACTAAAATTCATGCCCTTCAATAACTCCATGATCTCATCACAAATCTTCCAAAACTTCCGGGCCCTCATGTGCCCTTTCATCACCATTTGGACCATCACCGCTGAATTAGTTTCAATCAGAAGGCCACAGTCTAACAGCCCATAACTTCTAAACAACAATAAACCATCCTTGAGTGCATAAAGCTCAACCTCCATGTTTGAACAAACCTCATAGAAAAAAGAAGCAGCCAAGACAATGTGCCCCCATTCATTCCTTACCACAGCTCCAGCCCCAGCTCTTCCAGGATTTCCTTTCGATGCCCCATCCACATTTAGCTTTAAAAAACCGGAGGGAGGAGGGGACCAGTTAATCCAAATATTTTTTGGTTCCAGTTCCTGCCTCATCTCCACCTTTAAGGCCCTCAAAAGATCCATCCCCATCATGCCTTCCTTTGCCTCGGGACGAGTACCATAAGCCCGAAGACGCAAAGAGGAGCAAATATCAAGAAAAACAGCATGGGCCGAAAGTCAGATATCTTCATAGACTTTTCTGCATCGCTCCCTCCACAGTCTCTAAAAGACCACCAGTGAAGTACCTCTTAATAGGTTATTGCTAACAGAGTTTTTTTTTTAAATTCTAATCAACCTCATCATACGAACCATGGGAGATTCAGCCGAGAAAATCTGAAATCCACAAAAGGCAGCAAGCTTCCCCCAAACCTCTTTAGTAAAGTTGCATTGTGTGAATAGGTGAGTCGTAGTTTCCACTTCCTGATGGCATAGAGGGCATCTACTGGCCAATTCAACGCCAATACGTTGGAAATTTGAGTCCACCACCACAGCTTTCATATGTATCTTCCATCCCAGCAGTTTTGCACTTGGAAAGACAGATTAGTTCTAGATCGCTGAGGTTATAGGCGCAGGGTTATTTGAAGTTCTCACCGCCTGCCAAGCTGATTTGACATTGAACTCTCCCGACTCGGTTAATTTCCATATCAATCGATCTTCTTTGCCACATAAATGAATCCCAGAGTTATGGATTTCGTGCTTTAATTGCTCAGAAATCTGGACTCCCAATAACTGCCACTACCAGTCCCCTCTTGCCCATATCGCATCTAGACTTAGAAAGCTCGAGGGGGAGACATCGTGCCTGAGCAATAAAGGGCCAGATCCTGCCCAGTTCGTGCACCAAAAATCCACAGACTTCCCGTTTCCCACCAAAACCTAGGAGTTCTCCATAACCAAGCAAAAGAAAGGTTGCAGCATTCGAAATGTACGAGCTTTTGCAGTGCCCAGACATCATAACATGTGTTTGCCTTTTAAGAATTTTGCTCTAAACATGTTCGCCCAAAGAGAGTCACCCTTTAGAATTCCCCATACCTGCTTCCATCGAAAAGCAGTTTGGATGTCCTCAAATTTACGAATTCCAAGCCCCCCTCTTGCTTGGGTCTTAAAATATCTTGAAACTCAATGCCTTTTCCTCTCCCCCATCCTGCCTGACCAAATAAAGGAGGCCATCAAAGACTTCAACTTGACCAGGATGCCTTTGGGCACCCTAAGACAAGAGAGCAAGTGAATAGGGACTGCACTGAGGACCGATTGAACCAATACAATTCTGCCCATGTTTGATAGCAAGCATGCATACCACCCTTCCAATTTAGCCTTGAATTTTAGAACCACTTCCTCAAAATCCCGGAGTTTATATCTTCCTCTAATTATGGGGCAGCCTAGGTAGGTGAAGGGGCATTGTTTAATTGGAATTTGTGCAATTTTGGAAAGTGTCATTCTCCTGACCAGGGGAATTTTGGAGGAGCAGATTAAGGAACTTTTCTGCTTGCTTATTCTCTGACCAGAGCACTCCTCGTATCTTGCCAAAAATCTCACCATTTGTTCCATGGATAGTTTATTCCCCCTAAGAAACAACAGAGTGTCATCTGCAAAAAGAGGATGAGAAATAAGAAGAGCACCCCCTCCCTGCATGAAAAGCCTTGATTCTGCCTTCACCATACAGCTTCATCAAGCCCCTGCTTAACACTTCCTTGGCCAAAATAAAGAGAGCAGGTGAGATTGGGCCACCTTGTCTCAACCCTCTAGACGAAGGAAAATTGCCAAATTTTTTCCCATTCAAGCAGACCGAGAAGAATTGGTTCTTTAGGAAGTTACCAATGATGGAAACAAATAAGTTTGAAAAACCAAAACAGCCCAAAGTTCTTTCCAAAAAGTCCCACACCAATGCGGTCATATGCCTTCATCATATCCAATTTAAGAATCACGTTGCCTGCTTCGACTTTTCTATCAAGCTCGCCCACCATTAACTGTGCTAAAGAAATACAATCCCCAATCCCTCTCCCTTTGACAAAACCGTGCTTTGCATTTGAGATCAGAGACGGAATGAGAGCCACAAGTCTATTGGATAGGACCTTCGTGAAGACTTTGTACAAAAAATTGCATAGGCTTATGGGCCTAAAGTCTGTGAAAGAGCAAGGCTTCATCACTTTTGGAATCAAACACAAGGAGTGTGGAGTTAACAGATCTTGGAATCACTCCCCCACTCAAGAAAAAATTAACCGCCTCCAAAAGGTCGCTTTTAACAATATCCCATGCTACTTGAAAGAATCTACCAGAAAAACCGTCAGCGCCAGGGATGCTTTCCACAGACATAGAAAAGACAACCTGTTTCACTTCGGTTAAGGTAGCAGTCATAGTCAAGATCTCGTTAGCCGCTGGTCCAACAAGTTTAGGAATAACCCCAAATAGCTCTTCATCAAGCCCATGGTCCTCTGACATGTACAGTTTAGCAAAAAAGGTTGTGGCCTGTTGAGAGATCTCCTCCTCAGAGTCACACCATTCACCATCTTCACCTTTAATCCTCATCAGTCTGTTCCTCACAGCCTTCCCTTTGGCCAAAGCATGAAAGAACTTGGTATTCCTCTCCCTGTGTAGTGCCCATTTTATGTTAGCTTTTTGTCTCCAGTACAATTCTTCCAACCTAAGTGTTTCCTCTAGATTCTTTCTTGCAGAGTAGTTATCATCCACAGAACGTTCTGCCTCTCGCAAAGCCAATTCCTGCATACTAATCTTTTCAAAAATGTTCCCAAACACCTCCTTGTTCCATTTTTTGATATTAAACTTTAGCATTTTTAGTTTGAGGAAGAAGTTCTCAGCGTTAGCAAACATTCTGTCCAGCCGTTGCCACATTCTCGAATTAGCCCCTCCGATTGAATACAGTCCCCAAATTCATCCATTGCCAACACAGATGGAGAGGCACCCCCCCATTCTTTCATTTGACCTCATCACAATGTTAAAATCCCCCATCACCAACCAGGGCATAGCAAAGGATGTAGAAATAACCTGTAAGTGTCCCCACAAGGGCCTCCTTAACAAGTAAGTCACAACAACCATACACCACCGTAACTAACACTGGATCAGCTCCCTGGTAGGAGACTGACACGGTCATAGCTTGTTCAAAGTGCAGCATCCTCTTAACTTCCAAGTTATCATTCCATAAAAGCCACATATTTTTCTCTACCTTTGTGTTTGCCATAATAGAATTTAACCCAACAGCAAGACCAAAATTCCTTAGTTTGGTATGGGACATTTTTGGCAGCAATGATCAGGTGGGTGGTGGTAGTTGGGGGTGGCGGCAGATGGTGGTGGGGGTTGGCGACAATGGTGTTGCATCATTATATTTTCACTATGTATTTAAATCTTCAAATTACATTTAAGATCAATTTTCATTATATATTCACTATGTATAAATGTCAATTTTTATCAATCTTTTTGATTGATTATATTACTCTTAAGAAAAATATGCAGCATTATAAGTTTTAAAAAAATATTCACAAAAAACCTTCAAAAATTTCATCAATATAATATTACTCACCTCATCTATAAAGATAATATTATGATATATATATATATATATATATATATATATATATATATATATATATATTATTTTTCATCAAAATATTTAACCATTTCATTTTTAAAATAAAAAAAATAATGTATATATAGTTTTATATGATTTTTTAGTCACAATAAAATTTTCAAACTGTGTTAAGATTTTATGTAAAAACTTAAATTTTTAATATTTTAATATGCTTTATAATATATATTATAGAATTATATATTAATTTTTTTTCAATTGACCTAGATAATCTTAAATATAGTAATGTTCCAATATGATTGGTATATTGATAATCAATTTTATTTTATTCAATGATTTATAAGTGAAATTTTAATCAAATTAATTTTTTAATTATCTATTTCTATTTATAAATATAAATTTTTATGAAACTTTTTGATAGATTATATTACTCTTAAAAAACATATGCATTATTATAAGTTTTAACAAAATATTAACAAAAACCTTCAAAAATTACATTAATATAATATCACTCATCTCATTTATAAAGATAATATTATGACTATATGTGTATATTTTATTTTTCATCAAAATGTTTAACCATTTCATTTTTAAGTTAAAAAATAATGTATATATAGTTTTACATGATTTTTTAGTCACATTAAACTTTTTAAACTGTGTTAAGATTTTATGTGAAAAATTTAATTTTTAAAAATTTTTTAATATGCTTTATCATATATATTACGACGTTGTATATTAAATTTTATCCTAATTGACCTAACAAATCTTAAATACAATAAGGTTATAATATGATTGGTATATTAATAATTATTTTTGATTTTATTCAATGATTTATAAGTGGAATCTTAATCAAATTAATTTTAAAAAATTTAATTTTCAAACATCACTAAAAAATCATTTTTAATTACAAAATTATAGAAAAAAATAGAACTTTAATTATTTCTTTTCTTTTTTTTTTTTTATCATTTTTCTTAAAGTTAAAACAACACATTTTGAAAGTATATAAAATTTTAAAAAATTCTATAATGGAGCATAGACGATTAAAAAATAACTTTGATAAATTTGAGATAATATTTAATTCAAGTACATATATATCAAATATTTATTTATTAATTTTTTCTTAAAAAATTATTCACGTGTAACACACGTGATGCATTGCTAGTAAATATAAAAATGGAATAATGGTGGAAGTTTTTAAATAACCACTTTCATTAAGGTTAGACCTAAAGCTAAAAAAATTGTTGCATGTGGACCTCTCACCAAATCTCAAATTAAAAAAGAACCTTGTTTGCTTCAAGAGAAACCGATACCTCCAAGAGAGAATTCAATTCAATGATAAAATATTCATGCCTCTTGGCGTACACTCATGAGCTTAAATAGAAAATAAAAATAAAAAACTCTTCCTAAAATCAAGTTAAAATCTAGCAACAGCCTTATCAGCTATGAAGAGTATCTCTTCTTAAACTCAAATCTAAAATCAAACAAACTTATCAACTCATTGAGAAAATCTCTCTACTTGTTGATTTATGGGAGAATTATACTCAGATCTTATGAGGTTTGTCACTTAGTCATTCAGATCCCCTAACATTTGAAATATTACACCTAAACCCCTTTATGAATGACTTAAACCTCTAGTTTGATTTTTTAGTTTTATTCCAATACATAGTATAATTGTATACTAATTATGATTTTTTTTTAAAAATTAATTTTTTATTTTTGATTGTATTTCAATAAATGATACAATAGAATATGAATTTTAGTTGTTAAATTTAAAATATTTGACATGCTATATTTAATTGTAGTATTTTTGGTCTAAATATAACATTGTATCAAAATGGAATTAAGTCAAACGTTTTACATAAAACTTGGTTCAAGAGCCACAACCCGACTCTTATTCACTCTTGAGACCCTGAATGTGTGTCGTCCATCGGAATATGCCCCGTACCTAAAATGTTTCCCGTATAGGGTGAATCAACGCCTAGTAGAATATTTTCTACAAGGGTTACTTCCCACCTAAGTGTATATGAATGTGCACATGCAACAATCATAATCATATAGCCATTCCAATCAAATATATGCAATTCATGTTGGAATCTATCATGTCATGCCATGAAATGAGATGAGACTCACTCATGTATATCAACCCGAGCCGTCACCAGCTTTCACCACACTATGCAATGCAAGTGTAAAACCTTTATCATTGATGAAATACATCCAATTATCATTTTTAAAACACCAACTATATATTTATAAAACCACTTCATTCATAGATGTTTCCCATCAAATGAAATCTTTGTATTACAAAATCATGTGTCTTTGTTGGGTATTGGATTCTGGAATCACACCGACAGGCCCCGTATGCAATTACACTTTTTTGGAATTGCACCACAGGGAAGTGTATGAACCAAGTAGCCAGACCTTTCACCCGAGGGAGTGTCTAGCCCTTCTTGCTATACCCGACACAAGTTTTCCACATTTACAACCGTGCGACTCAGTAGGATATTCAACTCCACTTTCCCGAACCCACCCATCAAACACCAAGTATGGTGATTAATCCAACCATGCACACACACACCCATACTCATGGCCATGGATGCGTATTTCCCGTGCAAATGCAATGTAGTGCACCATTGCAATGTCTATGTCATACTCAATATGCAATGTATGCCAATGAGCCAAATTAAACCACACATCTCCACATGTGTTATGACAATCTATATCATATGTATATAATCACAAAAATTTATTATCGTGTCAATACATCAACTAACATTTATCAACAATCCTTCACAAGCATATTATACATAACTCATGCCATAATACACTTCATTTACAAGCACTATAAAACACATAGCATGCTCAAGATATCAATTTTCAAGGAATTACACAAGTATATTCCTTATACCAAACTTAGCTAGGAATTGGTCTAGGCCATTTCCAAACCCATTTTTCCTTATTTCCCACAACCTTAGTCAAGTGACCTAGGTCATTTTATACCCTTACCAATAACATATTACATCTTAGGTAAGAAATGAACCAAGGTAGGAGAAACCCTACCTCTTAAAATGTAAAAGAAAGGGAGAAAGTTGCAAGAACCCTCCCAAGCCCCAAACCTTTGATTTCCCCAAAATCTGCCTCTTGGATCTTCGATGAAATCCTTCGTTCTTGGTACATACGTGTAGCCCTTGCTGCGTAGATCAACTTTAACTCTTGGTCCGACAGATTCTGATCGACGGAACTCCGAAAATCGAAGGAGAAAGATAAAAATTTAGGTTTTTCTCTTCTCCCTCTTCTCTTCTCTTCTCTTCAACGCTTGAATCAACCGGCCACTTGGGTGAGAAATATCTGATTTTTCATATATTAACTCCCTATTTATACTTTTTAATTATGCGGTCTACATTGTCCCGTACGTTTATTACTCTCGGGTCTATTTTTAACTCAAAACAACTTAATTAAATTCCGTTTTTAGTTCAAATTAATTTTATTTGAACTTTCATCCAATTATAAGGAAATTTTATAATTTTCATTTTTGAGGACTTTTAAAAGTTCATTCGTCACCCAATTATCTCTAAAAATGTGTAAAGTCCGACTATCTCAAAATTCGACGAAAATTGACGTGGTAACTCAATTTCGCGGTACTAATTCAATGGTGAAGTCTATTGTGTCATTTGAGCTTTATAAAAATATGCATTTTAAACTCGCATAATAGTGACAAATTACTATTTTGCCCTTTTTCCAAAAAAGTTTAAATTTATCCGAGTTTTACAAAACTTAAGGGGTCTAAGTGTACGCACGTAACACTTAGACCCTTACTGTAAATATATTCATTAATAAATTACAGCTAGACCCTCATGAAGTTTGTAGACATATAATACTTATATCCCTTAAGTTTAAAATGTTATATTTAGACCAAAAATACTACAATTAAATAAAACATGTCAAATATTTTAAATTTAACAACTAAAATTCATATTCTATTGTATCATTTATTGAAATAAAGTCAAAAATAAATATTTAATTTTTAAAAAAAAATTATAATTAGTATACAATTATACTATGCATTAGAATAAAACTAAAAAAAATCAAACTATAGGTTTAAGTCATTCATAATAGAATATGAATTTCACAATCAAAATTCATGTTCTATTATGTCATTTATTGAAATAAAATCAAAAAATACAAATCTAGGTTTTTTTAAAAAAAAATTGTAGTTAGTATATAATTATACTATCTATTAGAATAAAACTAAAAAATAAAACAAGAGGTCAAACTGTAATGGAAATAATATTTTTTAACTTTAATTGGGGTAGTTTGGTATTTTAATTTGGTAGTTTAAACAACCAAATTAAATTCCAACAGACAATATAATTGTATACTAATTACGATTTTTAAGAAAAAAATTAAATTTTTATTTTTGATTTTATTTCAATAAATGATACAATATAACATGAATTTTAATTATAAAATTTAAAATATTTGATATTCTATATTTGATTGAAATATTTTTGGTCTAATTATAACATTTTAAATTTAAGGGGTTTAAGTAATATATGTTTACAAACTTCAAGGGATTTGAATGTAATTTATTAACAAATATATTTACAACAGGGGTCTAAGTGTTATGTCTGTACAAACCTCAGGAGGTCTGTGTGTAATATTTCAAATGTCAGGAGGTCTGGGTGATTAAGTGACAAACTTCAAGGGTCTAG